TTGTGCATTTCACTGTGTCTAAATGTTGCCTCACCTAAAAATAAAGAATTATAAACAAACAAAAAGGGAATTTGGAGAATGGGAGAGAAACACTTAGGTGTTCTAATTAGAAAAGTTGTACCCTAAGGTGTGAAAAAATAATGGTATTTATTATGGCAAGGATCCATTTATTTTCCTTTTTAGCAGATAACTATGTTGTCTCTTTTCTTGACAACTTATTGTTGATTCGCTGATTGTTACTTCTTCTGGCCACAAGCTAGATAGGAGCTCTTTTGTAATCTGTTTTTCTACCACATCAGTGCAGATTCATCCTATCTCCCTTCTCTTTGCCTTTTGCTCACAATTCTTTCTCTTTTCTCATCTGTTGACGAGGAAAAAAAAAACTAAGTTAGGGAAAAATTGGTCCTGAGTGTTCTCTGTGAATTTGTCACATTTAAGATTCAATCATTCATACATTGTTTCTTGAGAAATAGAAGCAATTCACACTATTGGTTGTGATCATCTTTGGACCCTTATCAAACAAATAGGGGTTTTGTCTTAAACATTGTAGACCGTTTGTGATTCTGTGGATTGAATGGATATATTTTAGCACTTCGCTGAGGGTGACAGTAGATGATCTCAGATTAAATTTAAATTGATCTCCTCTCCATGTTTATCTCTGGTGCATGTACAATTACTTCAGTGCCAGAGAACCTTTCAGAGGCATTCTGTCAATACAGCTACCTGACAGCCATTTGTATTTGTCAACTGTGCATTTGGCACCTGCTGGTATCTGTTGCATTGGAGCTAGTGGGGAGCCAAAATGGGTATACAATGAAGTTATTGGTTAGTACATCTCAGTGGGAGTTGTTGAAGGGAAGAAATAGCACTTGCAGGACCTCAGGAGAGGATAAAAAGAGAAAGAAACTGGTAATATTAACACAAGCCAGCTGTTCTTTGCTACCAAAAAATAATGATTTAAAAAGTCAATCAACTCTACCCAAGGAATTAAGGTATTTATGGACCTGCATTTTATTTCTTATAACAGATACGAAAAACAAAGGGTTTCTATTTAAAATATGTTATTAAAAAAAAAAAAAAGCCAAGGTCTCAGTAGAAGACAGTTCATATGAACAGGAATATAAATTAAACAGTGGAAAAAATACTTAATTTCTGAAGAAATGTAAATTAAAATACAGGTGTCATTTACTTATCAAAGTAGCAAAACAAATTTTAATAATAAAAAAACTAACCTTCTGGCAAGACTTGGAAGAACAGACAGACAGTAGCAGCAAAAATTGACTAATGTTTTGCAGGCATAATTTGCCCATGCTTTGTCAAAGGTTCTTTTTCTTTTACCAAATACGTAATGCTACTTTACTGGATGCTGCTCAAGGAAATAACTAAAAAGCAAAAGCCTGATATGTAAGTTTCTTTTGCTCAGAATGGTCTGTTCTGCTGCTACAAAGCATGTCTCTGGCAAGTTAGTTCATGCATGACTGGTAATTAGGAGAATGATGTCACTATAAAGTAGAAGTTGTGTTTGCTCATTTATCACTTTCCTTGGATTATTTTGAAGCCATCGGAGTAAGTTTTTTCACAGTTAAAGAGATTGCCTTAGTGGTACATGAAGACCTCAAAATGAAAACAAAAACCTTGAAATCCCTGTAGAGGTACCTTTCTTTAATAAGACTAGCTTAACGGCCTTGAGAAGTGGTTTGCTTTTCAGTGTTATACTATCCAGTGAAGCTGCATGTGTGGTTGAAGAGATTGTGAAGACGTTTCCTATTGGGTTTTTAAAAAAAAAAAAAAGGAAAGGCTACACCCTGGTTTAGACTAATTTGATGAAGCTGGTTCTTACTGGCAATGAATACCCTCAAGGACCTGCATCTCAAAGGAGGACTCACAAGCTCCAGATTAAGGCCACAATCCTAAACTGACACAGGGCTCAGATGCCAGTGGAGATTCAGTGTTGCTAGTATTTTTGTTATTGGTTCAAATTAGTTTCCTAGGGCTGCTGTCATAAAGTACCACAAACTGGGGTGGTTTAAAACAACAAAAATTTATTCTCTCAAAGTTCTGGAGGCCAGAAGTCCCAAATCAAGTTGTCAGCAAGGCCATGTTTCTCTGAAGGCTCTAGAAGAGAGGCCCCTCCTTGCCTCTTCTGGCTTCTAGTGGTCTTAGGCGTTCTTTGGCTTATGGTAGAATATATCCAATCGCTGCCTCCGTCTTCACATGTCTGTTTTTCCTCTGCATCTCTGTATGTCTGTCCGTGTCTCTTTTTCTCTTTTATGTAAGGACACCAGTCATACTGGGTTAGGGCCCACCCTACTCTAGTATGACCTCATGTTAACTAATTACATCTGCAGAGCTATTTCCAAGTAAGGTCACATTCACAGGTACCAAGGGTTAGAACTTGAACATAATTTTGTGTGTGTGTGGGAGGGGGTTTACAAAGCAACCCATCATAGGATTCTCAGTAGTGTAGTGCTCTAGTTACAAAGCTGCTTAGATTTTAGTGGTCAGCCCCTAATACTGTTTTTCCCTTGAGCCCTGTTTTTTTTAATTGTGCCTTAAGTTAAAGTTTACAGAGCAAATTAGTTTCCCATTCAATAATTTATACACAAAGTGTTCTGTGACATTGGTTGCAATCCTCAGAATGTGTCAGTACTCTCCCCACTTCCACCTTGAGTTCCCCATTCTCTTTCTTCCGGTTTTCCTGCCCCTTCCTGCCTTCTCATCTTCACTTTTGGGCAAATGTTGCCCTTTTGGTCTCCTATAGTTGAGCACTTTCCTCACGGGTGTTATTGTTTATTTTATAGGCCAGTCTCTTTGGCTGTAAGGTGATCTTTGGGAGTGGCTTCAGATCCAAGTTAGAGGAGTGACTAAGGGCCTTAGTCTCAGGGGCTCTTCCAGTCTCCGTAAGACCAACAAGTTTGGTCTTTTTTAATGAAATTTGGGTTTTGTTCTACATTTTTCTCCTGTATTATCTGGAACTTTGTATTGTGATCCTGCTCAGAGCATCAGGTAGTGGTAGCCGGCATCATCTAGTTCTTGTGGTCTCAGACTAATGGAGGTTGTTGTTTATGTAGGCTAATTGCTTCCTTGAGTCTCATTTTCTTCACTCTCCTTTGCTCCCCACAGGAAGAGACCAATAGTTGTATCTTAGATGGCCACTTGCAAGAGTTTAAGACCCCAGATGCTACTCACTAAAGTAGGATGTAGAACAAACATTGTTCGTCTTTTTGTTGTTAAGGTATTGAAGTTTTCTATAAATTTTAGAGATTAGACCCTTGTTGGATATGTCACAGAGAAAAATTTTTTCACGGTCCGTAGGAGAAAGTCTTTTGAAGAAGTCTTTTGGTGAGCGTAAAACCAAAAAAACCAAACGCGTTGCCGTCAAGTCAGTTCGACTCATAGCGACCCTATGGGACAGATTAGAACTGCCCCCATAGAGTTTCCAAGGCAGTAAATCTTCACGGAAGCAGACTCCACAGTTTTCTTCCACAGAGCAGCTGGTGGGTTCGAACCACTGACGTTTTGGTTAGCAGCAGAGCACTTTAACCACTGATCCACCAGGGCTTCTAGATGAGCACAAGTGTTTAATTTTTAGGAGGTCCCAGTTATCTAGTTTAGCTTCTATTATTTGTGCATTTTTTAGTTACGTTTGGTATTTATGCTGCATGTTAGGGTCCCTAGCGTTGTACCTATTTTTTCTTCCATGATCTTTATGGTTTTAGGTTTTACATTTAGGTCTTTGATCCATTTTGAGTTAGCTTTTATATATGGTGTGAGCTTTGGATCCTGTTTCATTTTTCTGCAGATGGAGACTTTTTCTTCCCCATTTAATGGAATTATGACCCTTTGTCGAAGATCAGCTGTCCATAGGTAGTTAGATTTACTTCTGGGTTCTCGATTCTGTTCCATTGGTCTATGTGTCTGTCATCATACCAGTACCAGTCTATTTTGACTACTGTGGCTGTATAGTAGTTTCTGAGATCCGGTAGTGTGAGGCCTCAGTCTTGGTTCTTCTTCAATAATGTTTTACTTATCTGGGGCCTCTTTCCTTTCCATATAAAGTTGGTGATTACTTTTTCTGTGTCATTAAAGAATGTTGTTGGAATTTGGATTGGGATTGCATTGTATTTGTAGATTGCTTTGGGTAGTATTGACATTTTCACAGTCTTCTATCCATGAGCCTGGTATGTTTTTCCGTTTATGTAGATCTCTTGGTTTCTTGCAGTAGTGTTTTGTAGTTTTCTTTGTATTAGTCTTTTATGTCCCTAGTTAGATTTATGCCTAAGTATTTTATCTTTTGGAGCACTATGGTAAATGGAATTGTTTTCCTGATTTCCTTTTCAGGGTTCTCTTTGTTAGTGTAGTCTGTTAATCTTATACCCTGCTACTTTGCTGAATCCTTTTATTAGTTCCAGTAGTTTTCTTGTGAATCTCTGGGATTTTCTATGTATAGGATCATATCATTTGTGAGTAGGGATAGTTTAACTTTTTCCTTACCTATTTGGAGGTCCTTTATTTCCTTTTCTTGCCTTATTGCTCTAGCTACGACTTCCAGTACAAATTGAATAAGAGTGATGATAAAGGACATCCGCATGTTTCCCATTCTCAAGGGGGGCCCTGTTATTTTTAGTGTGATTTTACAGAACATAAGGTTTTTTAGTTCATATCTGTAATTAAGGAAAATATATAAATGCCCAACAATAAACGACAAGTAAGTGTGGGTACAGCTCCTTGATAGAGGATGATGCATCTGTTAAAATTATTAGCATGGAAAATTTTCTGTGAAACAAGTGCAAGAAGTATAGCATAAAACTGAATGTCCAGATACCATGATTACAATTGTGTAAAAATGTTCTACATATACCTGGCCCATAACAGTTATGGTAGGATGATGAGATGGTAGGTAAAATTTAAAAAGAAAAATTAATCTTGTAATGTAGTTAAAATAGCAGTAAGTCCATTTTAATGTTTAAGCTAATTTTGTATCTGATTTTTGGTTCTAGAGTTCCTGGAAAACTCAAGCAGTTCGTATTTGACTTACATTCTGGAAAACTGCACAGAGAATTCCATCACGGACCTGACCCAACCCTTGATATTGCCCCAGGACAGGTGGGACTCTTTGTCTGTTTTTCATCGGGAACTCTTTTTTTCCTTTTTTCTTTTTCAGTTAGCTCTGAAGAGGATCCTGAAGAGGATCTAAAGCTCTTGCGTATGCATGAATATCTTTGTAGAGAAATTCTGAACTGATTCTAGACAAGATATAAATTAAACTGTTTTTTCATTTATTTTTTAAATTTTAGAGCTTCAGAAATGTTGCAGGAATGTTATAATAGTTTCTTGATCATATAAACTAAGGTGCTCCGATATGACCTCTGTGGAATATGATTATAAAAGGGTTAAATACAGTTGACTTCAAATAGAAATAGGCAGTAGGAATTGGAAACAGATCATTGAAGAAATTAACGGATTCCATGAATTGTTCAAGCCTTCCTCTGCAGCTGGATGATTGACCCACTGTAAAGAAAGTAATGATTTGCTGTTCTGCTAAACTATCCTAAGGGCCCTGTCTTAGTCATCTAGCGCTGCTGTAACAGAGATACCACAAGTGGATGGCTTTAACAAAGAGAAGTTTATTCTCTCACAGTCCAGTAGGCTAGAAGTCTGAATTCAGGGCGCTGGCTCCAGGGGAAGCTTTCTCTCTGTCTGTGGACTCTGAAGGGAGGTCCTTGTCATCAGTCTTCCCTTGATCTGGGAGCATCTCAGAGCAGAAACCTCAGGTCCAAAGGACACACTCTGCTCCTGGCACTACTTTCTTGGTGGTTTGAGGTCCCCAACTATCTACTTGCTTCCTTTTCTTTTATTTCTTGTAAGATAAAAGGTGGTGCAGGCCACACCCCAGGAAAACTCCCTTTGCATTGGATCAGGGCTGTGACCTTAGTAAGGGTGTTACAATCCCACCCTAATCTTCTTTAACATAAAATTACAATCACAAAATGGAGGACAACCACACAATACTGAGAATCATGGCCCAGCCAAATTGATATGCACATTTTTTGGGGGGACATAATTCAATCCTTGACAGGCCCTCACCAATATAGTATTCATAATGCTCAAAACGTATGATTTTAATGTGGCTTTCCCATTCGGGATTTAGAATGCCCGACTACTATTTATCAGAAGTTTCTATTTGCTTTTTTATAGTTTTGTTTTTTATACTCAGAATTTTCCTATTTCTACCTTGTAACTTCAGTTACAAGTAATTTCTATGTTCCTGATTTATTAAACACGCTTGAGTTTGGGTTGCGCGAATGGTTAAGAGCTCGGCTACTAACCGAAAGGCAACCATGTATGTTACCATGATACTGAGAAGGAAGATGATAGATACCCAAACCCTCCTATTCCATATGCCACTATTTTACCAAAAAAAAAAACCTCCATCTATAAAGGAAAAATAAAAACTGAGTGAATTTTTCTTTACCTTATTTAACGTCAAATTAGGTTCAAAGTCAAGAGTTCCTATTTAGGAATCTGATTAAATGCTTTTTCCTTAAAATCTAAGGTCAGTTTTTCCTTGATAATTAAGCAAGTGTAGAAGCAGGCAAGCTGTTGGCCACAACCCGAAGGTGATTATTGTCGTCAGGAAAGAAGGCCTACATAGGATTTTATCAGATTAGGGAAAGCACTTTATCAGTATTGTATTACACTTATTTGTTTCGGAGCCCTGATGGTGCAGTGGTTAAGTGCTCAGCTGCTTACCAAAATGTCGGCAGTTCTAAACCCTATGGGGCAGTTCTACTCTGTCCTATAGGGTCACTATGAGTCAGAACCAACTCAATGGCAATGGGTTTTGGGTTTTGTTTCAGTTGACCCATTAGACAGTGAGCTTCTTGTGTTTTATTTATTCATCTTTGTGTACCAAGTCACAGTAGACACCAAATACATGTTTTTTTATGATAATAAATTTCACCTTAATCCAAACCTCTTTCTCACCAAAAATAACTACATATATTAGGGAGAAGGACTATGACAGGGTTTCCATTTATAATGGGAATATGTCATCATATAGAGTATTTAATATATGCACTGTGTGCCTGTGTCTACTACAGGAGATATTAAAACGAAGACAGTTAGATGTGTGTCCTTGAGCTCACAGTATGGAGGTAGAGGATATACTGCCTTTTCTGTAAAATTCTTGAAGTCACTCTCAAAGTTTCACTGTGTATTTTTGTCTGCTATTGGTACACAAGTAAATTACTGTAGAAATTAATTTCTTGCAGTATAGAAGTGTTTGTTTTCCTTCTTATTTCAGCTAAGTTTTAATAATTTCTGACACCCATGTAATTGATAAATAAGAGCTGTGTCTACAGTGTAGATGTCTTTAATTCTCTTAGTAATCATTTATAAGTGGCAGGCTTGGGCCCATTTAGGGTTGTGCTGCCTCTAAAGAGTATTATAGGAAAGCACCCAGGTGTCAGCACACCACACCTCAGCAAACAACAGGTCCATAGTTATGTATCTAACATTTCCGTAGTAACCCTGCCCTGGAGAATCTGAGTGGGGCGTTTGAAATGAGGAAGGCAAGATTTCAAACTTAACTCTTGTCTTTGGTACACAGTTGCTGTGTTTTATTGATGAATCAGCAAATACATACAGGGCAACTACTATTCATCTAATAAAACCAAACCAAACCTACTGCCATTGAGCCGATTCCAACTCATAGAATTGCCACGTCTTTCTCCCACAGAGCCGCTGGTGGTTTTGAACCGCCAACCTTTTGGTTAGTCGCTTTAACCACTGCACCACCAGGGCTCCTTACTATTCATCTAATACTCTAGTTAAAATATTACCACTCCATAAAATATATTGATATGAAAATGTTTTATTCTTTCATTTGTAGGAATCCCAAGATGTAGCAAGCAGTCCACCTGAGAGCTCCTTCCAGAAGCTAGCACCCAGCGAATATAGGTATACTTTATTGAGGGATCGAGATGAGCTTTAAAAACTTGAAAAACAATTTGCAAGCCTTTCAAACAGCAGCATCAATTTATGTGGTGGAAATAGTAAACCTATATTTTCATAATTCTGTGTATTTTTATTTTGAATAAACTGAAATACGTTTTGGGTTTTTATTTTTTTTTCCCCTTGACTCAGAATGCATTGCCATTTAATATAGCCTCTTTTTAAAATGTGCTAGGGTTAAAAAATAAAAACCAGAGGCCTATCTTTGCTTTAAATCTGTCCTGTAAAACATTTATAAATCAAGTAAAACGTGGCATTGCCAGAGACATACCATTAACTTGCACTGTTAGGTTAGGGAGGACTTTGGGGTGTTTCCTGTGTAGTATGTGCTTTTCTTTCTTTTCTTTTCATATGATCAATTCTGTTGGTATTTTCAGTATCACATTTCTCAAAGCTAAGGGGGTATATATTCTGGATACTTGGGAGGGGAATAAATTAAAATTTTCACACTGTGTACTGTGTTTTACTGATTGGTTGGATATTACTTACGAAAATTCCATAGTGGTATTTTTTGGACTCTTAATGTGTAACTTAAACATACTATGAAGAGGAGGAGAGCCATAAGCCAGAACATTTGGCAGGAATTGTCTTTATGCATTAAGAAAAAGAAAATGAAAAGTGTTATTAAATTTCTATGTGTTTGTCTAAAAAAGTGGCATATGGATGGCATTTAAAACTTCAAATGAATTATATCTAAATCTGGGAAAGAGAGATACTAGTGGAGCAGGTTACGAGTGTTGGACTAGATGACTTTCAAGCCTCCTCCAAACCATGAGACTTCAATTTCCAAAGAGGAAAAACCAGCAGAGAAAATGTATCTCAGTATTTCTAAGTTCTTTCTGTCTTGTAGAGTCTTGTTATAGCTGTATAGATCAAAAACAAAGATAATAAGGATCATAAGCTTTTAATTTTTTTTCCATTGTAAAATTGCCAGAGGACCCTACCCCCTCTGGCTTCCCTGACTTCCCAGGCCTGCGTCGTACAGTCACATGGGTCCCTGCGCCAGGCCTCAGTACTGCCAGGAAACAAAACCAGAGGGAGGGGACCCTCCGTGTTATATCAGGAAGCCCAATGCCAGAGGACAGACAGGTTCAAAATTGACTTTCCTCTGGGCCTGGGTTGGTGCTATAGGTCAAGAATCATTTTTATACTTGGGGTATTAGTCAATCCCAGTTTGGGGAAAGATTATTTTTAAGCTTAAAAGGCTGACATGTGCCATTATATGTAGTATGTAATATATGTAACATCTTCCAATTCTTTTAAAATAAAATGAATATTTATAATGGATATTTAATGATTGTTATTTTTAAAAAATCAGCCTAGAATTCTTAATTATGCATGATTTATCCATAGTTTTGTTCAGAAAAAAATAAATGTTGTTAATAAGATGGTAAGGGGCATGTTTAATATGTTTTACCAGATTGTGAACTAAAAAAGCAGAACAGAGCTCCCCAAAGGTTAGTCCTTAGTCCTGTTCTCAGCATTGCTTTTAATTAATAACTTGAGTGAAATCAGAAGTTGTGATCTCAAGGTCAGAGGATAGACCAAATCTGAGGGGTTCAGAAGGAAAATTCACAAACATCAAACAAGCTAGCCCACATGACCAAAAGCAGCACATACAATTAACTGGAATAAATGTTTAATCCTGTAATTGTGTTAAAAAAATAATAAAAGTTACTGTTCCGGTATTGAGTTGCAGAGACCTAGTTTTAGAGTAATTCTTATGAAAAAGCCTCAAGGAGCACATGTTCAATGTGACTTAAGATAATTGAGTGGCTATTAAAAAAAGTGAATGGATTTGAGGATGCATTATTTAGGCTTCATGCATGTTTGGACTTAGGCTATCACCCTGCCACTATCATTGTCTTCTTTAGATTGTGAAGTCAGCGAGGGCAAAGACTGAATTTTATGTAAGTATCACCAGTACCTAGCATTTCTGGGCAGTCAGTAGTCATTATGAAATGTTTACTGAATGAATGAGAAGCAACGTGACCTTGGGTAATTGTTGCACCCCTGATAGGCTAAACTCCTCATTAGGACTTGGTGCTCAGTTTTATAAAAGGTCATTAACAAGCTCACGTGTATTCCATGAAAAGACAACTAAGATAATAAGAGGTTTTGAAACATAGGCATTAAGGCTGTTTTGCTTGGAGAAGACTCTGATCTGAGAGCAATCTTTAGGTATTTGAAGGGCTGTCATTGTGTAGACCCCACGTGTTGAACCCTAGGATTGGATGGAAGTCATGGGGACGCAGATTTCAGTGTAACATTTATTCAGTACAAGTTTATTGGTACCATAGTATGTGATAAAGGATACAAAGATGAATAAAGTGTTTAAATTCTTCCCTAGAGTTGCTTACAGTCTAGTTGGGAGATAGATATGTAAACAAATGAGTTTAACAGGTATTTTGATGTTAAGATAGAAGAATATAGAGTTTAATGGGATGTAGGAGCAATCAGTTCCAAAGATTTCATTTGATATTTTATGCTGAGTTTTTTAAAGATGAATAGGTGTTCTTCAGGAGGTAGGGATCTGGGTGGAGGAAATAATCTGAGCAAAGGTATGAAACAGCATAATGCATTATGAAAATCAAACAGTTCTTACAGCAACACTAGTGCATGAAGGGGAGGCCTGCAGCTAAGAAACTGAGAAAAGAGGTTGGAGAAAGAACTGGGAGCTGATCATGCAGGGCCCTTGTATGCCAAGCTATAAGGGATTTGTAGATAGTAGAGATCCACCAACAGATTTCAAGCAGGGAAGTGTGCACCTAGTTAAGTTTTAGCATGAATACTGTGGATGCAGGTCTAGGTACAAAACGAGTCCAGCAGAGGAGATGTGATGGCCAGAACCAAGGCAGTGACAGCAGGAATGAAGGGGAATGGATACAAGAGATGACAAAGATGTAGATTCCATAGGAATTTGTCACCAACTGAATGTAGAAAGAGAAATAAGGAATCTGCATTAATTCATAGTAACCCAGTGGCACAAATGGTTAAGCGCTGGACTACTAGCCAAAAGGTTGGCGGTTTGAACCCCCCAGAGGCGCTGTGGAAGAAAGGTCACAGACTTGAAAACCCTATGGAGCAGTTGTACTCTGCACACATGGGGTCACCATGAGTTGGAATTGATGGCAACTAAAAACAACAACCACCCAGCTTAAAATTTAGACTTTTCCCCTGGGAACCATAAATCAGAGGCAGAAAACTATAGGTGGAATTCTCTAGTTTATCTAATCTACTCTGGGCCTCTGGCTCCTCAGCTGTGAAGAGGGCATTCAAGACTAGACTGAAGAACAGTTGAGTTGCAAAATCAAAACTAGGAACAGGCCTTCCTGCTTCTCAGCTCATTGCCTTTTTCAGTTATCCAAAAATTGTTCCAGTACTGAGGGGGAACCATAAAATGATGAAAACTCAATTAAGATGAAATTCTGAAAGAATTTTTGGAAGTCAAATGAACCTAGAGAGGAAGATAGAGAATGGGCATCTAAAGCCTGTAGCGCAACTGTCTAGAGAGCACGCTGATGAAGGCCAATCAGAGATCAAAGAGGGCAGGTACAGAAGAAGGAAAAACTAGCATGATAAAGGCCAAAAAGAGGAAAGTGAAATATAAAACCATGTTGGAAGTGTTAAAGCTAGAATGAGCTTAAATTTGCCGAAATTGCTAAAATTGCCAAAAAAATTTTTTTTTTTTTTTAACCTGAATCTGGGCAAAAGAAGAATGGATGAAGTAGTGTAATGGATTGACAATCAGGAAAAGCAGAATGACTCAAATTTTTTTTTTTCTTCTGACAAGGGGGTATAGTCCAGCTGGATAAAGAGAAAATGGCACAAACAACTGTAAAACTGAGAAGTAAAAAAAAAAATCTTGCCACCGTAAATGATTTCAGGACTTAGGCCCAGATCTGTATTCCAGAGAGCTGCCCAAAGTTGCAAATGCTTTTTGTTAGCAACTATTGGGAATTTTTGAGAAACCATGGAGAATGTAAGGTGACATAGACTGGAAATGGGCAAGTATATTTTGCAGTTTTGGAAATAATTATAGTTAATAGCTTTAGCTATTTTTCTGAAGTAAAACATCTTGGGAACCATACTGGAACGTTAGTAGTCTGTTTTGGGGGCAAAGACTTAAACAGGTGTAAAGAACAAAACAATTACAAATTTTAAACCCCTTTTGAACCCAGTATTTAAAGTTTTTGAAGACAGTTGTTTTAGGACTTATGCTGATTGTAATTGTTTTATGTGTTCATTAAAATAGGTTGGATAGGGCCTCTGTTTGGCAACTGTTTTTAGCTGTGTTTTAATTTTTGTATGTATTTCTAAGTAATAAAACTATATTTATAAAACGTTTCTATATTTGAGGCTCTTTACTAATTTACTTTGTCACAAATAATTTTGTCTTGTGAAAACTTTACTCAGAATCCAGATGACCAGCGTCACAAGCTTTTTCAGGTTTAAAGTTATTTTCTAGATCCTTTCACTGTACTTGAATCAGAATGGGAAGCTATATGAAGCCATGTGCTGGTAACGCAAACCCAGTGTTTAGCTGAAATGTCAGCAGTGCTCTCTTGAAGAGCACACTGGAGAAAGGCTGGCCTGCCCTTAGTTGTTTGGCATCCCTGGAAGGGAAAAATTGCAGCTTACAAATAACTTCTCTAAAATGCTCCTTTCTTCCCCCACCTCACCTGGTAAATTCCTCTTGTTCATCTTTCAGTGCCCAGGACAATCCCCACCCCACTGTGATCCCACAGGACTTTATGTGTCTCAGAGTACTCAGTCTAATGCAAAGTTGGAAGTACCTGTATTCCTTTCCCTTATCACCTTGTGAATGCCCTGAAAGCAGGAAGTCCACTATCTTTGTATTCCCAGCTCACTAACCAAAAAAAAACCAAACCCCTTGCTGTCGAGTTCATAGCGACCCTATAGGACAGAGTAGAACTGCCCCATAGTGTTTCCAAGGAGGAGCTGGTGGATTCAAACTTCCGATGTTTTGGTTAGCAGCCAAGCTCTTAACCATTGTGCCACCAGGGCTCCCAGCTGACTACAAGTACTCAATAAATCTCTGATGGAAAATAAAAGCCAAATAATAATAAAGCACAAGAAAGCATAACCATAACTGGACCAGACTGCTCATCTGCCAGTCCCAATTATCTGATGGTTGTGTCTGCAAATGTGGGTTTGGGTGAGTCTAGTCACCTTCAAGCCTATGCCCTAAACTGGCTTTCAAGTTCTAAGAGTTTCTGTCTACAATAAAATCTTACCGTGCACACCAAACCCAGAGATTGACATAACAGAATGACACTCCAGAGCCCCGCAGAGGTGCTGGGAATTTTCCCATAAACTCTTCAAGTTTTTTGTGAGATAGCTAGTCACCTAGCTTAGTCACTCAGCCTTGAGGAAGGACAGGCTATACTGAGTTGACAAAAATTCCAGGCATGTTTACAAAACACCAGATATTTACCATTAAGCAAGCATTAATGATCTACTTTTGCCAGGTTAAGGATATAACAGTAAACGGGAGACTGCCCCTCCCATCATGGAACTCA